TTTAATCCTAAATTCCTGTTTTGCTAGTTCTTTTGCCATCAGCTTGTACATTAGCCAAACCATTGGGACATTACTCTTCCAGGGGAAGAGGCTGCTAGTTTTATTTAGTTACTATTAGAACCATTTAGTTCTAATGGTTACTAGTCATCAAAGCTAGTAAAAATTACGTCTGTATCTAGGTCCAGATGTTGTTTAATCTCATAAAGGGCAGTCTTGTTTCACAGGGAAGATCATTTCTCCATGGAGGACCTTTCGTAGTTCAATCAAGAATCATTGAATATAAATACATTTAAAAAGCAGAATAATTTATTTTCAGAATACACAAATCTACAACTATTGTAGTATGTTTTTGTGCTTTAATACTGCTTTCTATTTTCTCAGCATTCTCACTATTATTTTTGTCCTGAGGGCTCTTAAATGAATAGCTGTTTCTGTTGTTCTGGTGTCTTTCTCTATATTTGTAGCCGATTGTCAGGTGTGTTTTTCAGCACGATCACTATCACCTAAAGAATGTTTGGATGGCATTTTGTAATTGTAACTTTATTATAGCAGCAAGTGTTAACATAATAGCGTAGCTGTCACCAAGACCACTTACAGAAGTTCTAGCGTGGTTTATTGTACTGATCATGAACGCGTATGATTTTATCTACTAGTTTACAGTAGCACTAACTGTAAACACAGTTTCTAAGTCACTTGACCAGTTACTTTTGAAAACTTGTTATCTAGACAAATTATTAGTTTAGGGAGATTGTTGTAATTGAGAAGAGTGAGGCTTTATCCATAGTTTTAATACTAAAATCTGCCCAAAGTGCTACTACTATGCCCTTCGGGCAAATACGTTTCCTATTTCCTAACAGTAATTACTACTTTTTATAATATAGCTTTTCAGTCCTGGAGTTGTCAACAGCAGAATCTTTTTCTGCAGGTTTTCATATTAATCATAAAGTTCTTATATAATTGTTTTCCACTAAGTTTAAAAAGTTGTTGTTTTTTGAAAATGAGACCTTATTTCTCACTCTTTTCTCATCTTTCATATCCATGGGAATATTATAAAAATGTAGAATTTAAAGGTTACCTCCTAGACTTTTCCTGTTGAGAAAACTAAAGTAGGGCCAGGTGAATGGCCCAGTATCATTATTGAGTTCAGCAGGTGAAGTTTGGGATTGAAGTTGAGGTCTCTTGGCTTTGTTAATTACATCTGTGTAAAGTTGTAGGTTTCAGATCTAAAGTCTAAGGCATCTGTCAGAGGCACATTAGTGGGAGGTTGACCTCATGTGTCCCAAGACCCTATGGCTCTTTTGGCAAGAGCACTGCTTTGGCTTCTGGTTATTTGGGGGAATCACTCTTTTATATCTTTATGGTCAACCTATCAGTCTCTTTTTTCTTTTTCGTAATTATTTTTGAAAACTAATCTGAATTTTTTTATTGGTTTATTGGTTTGGCAATGATATAACAACACAGTAAAATAGTAAAAACTATCACAGTTTTCTTAGTCACTTAAATTAAAAGATAATCAAGATTCGTGGTACCCAAGGGAAGCTTGCAATTTGAGGGGAATGCATATCTTACCATTGGAATGGGTTATCAGTTAATGAACTTGTTAAATCTCTTGCTGAATATGATGGGCCTAGGTGTGTGTTGTTTGTGTGTGTGTGGTTCTCTTTTTACTGTAGTGGAGAGATGCAGCTTCTACACTTTTTCCATTAGGTTTACTAAAGTTTTACAGCTTCTCTATGCATGCTCAGAAGCAGATCATATCGTCTTGGTTGTGTATCTAGCTATTTGTTCTTAAAACAGTAAAATACATATTTTTTCAATAAGGAGAAAGTTAATGTATGAAAATTACTAATGTAGATTACTGTTTGATTTTGAAATGTTTGTGTCAGAGTCATTTGAATCAGAGCAACTCCATTTCTAATGGAGGCTGGGTAAAATAAGGCTGAGACCCACCAGGCTGCAATACCAGGAGGTTAGGCATCCTAAGTTATAGGATAAAATGGGAGGTCTGCAAAAGGTACAGGTCACAAAGACCCTGCTGATAAAACAGCATGTGGTAAAGAAGCCAGCTGAAACCCACCGAAACCAATATGGCGACAAACGTGATCGCTTGTTCTCACTGCTCATTATACGCTAACTATACTACATTAGCATGCTAAAGGACACTCCCACCAGTGCCATGACAGTTTACAAATGCCATGGCAATGTCAGGAAGTTAGGCTTTATGGTCTAAAAAGGGGAGGAACCCTCAGTTCCAGGAGTTGTCCATACCTTTTCCAGAAAACTCATGAATAATCCACCCCTTATTTAGCATATAATCAAAAAATAACTATAAGTATCCTTGGTTCGGTAGCCCAAACTGCTCTTCAGTCTAGGGAGTAGTCATTCTGTATTCCTTTACTGAATGAACTTGCTTTGGACTCGCCCGGAATTCTTTCTTGCGCAAGGTCTAAGAACCCTGTCTTGGAGTCTGGATCAGGACCCTTTTCTGGTAACATTTGTATTCATATTATGTGAGGATAAGACTTTTAAGGTAAGTTATAATTTATTGTTTTCAAAACACTTATATTGAGTAGTTGTTGTATTAAGTATTGCCTACTTTAATATCTGTACATATATACATATTTAAAATATGTGAACATTTACTTAGTGTATTTCTCTGTTTAGAAGCCTAATTATATTCCGCTTTGGGATGGTGATGTATACTTTCCATGCTCTCCTGTTTTCATATACTGTATTCACTTTAAAATAAATGGTTTTGTCCTTGATTCTTTTGTGATTTCTAAGGCATTTCCTCCTGTGTGCCAGTGCATCCTCTTCGTTGAATGTGCTTAACATCTTCAAGCCTGAACTTGGAGTCAGAGAAACCCAGTTCTCCTCCAGGCCTAGTTGCATCCCAGTCATGTGCCCCTGAGCCTCATGGGAAAATGTGACCCGTATCTGCCTCAAAGGCACCTCTGGATCATTTTTGCTTAATATGTGAAAGGGCTCTCTAAACTGCAACTGACAAACAGATGTTAGACATTTTCATTGTAATTAAGTTTTCTAATTTTTTCTTAACTGTTGGAAAGCACAGTTTTGCTTAATGCAAAATATATGGAGGAGATTCTGATTAGCTGAAGTTGTCCTTAAAACTATCATCACGTAGACCACTGGTTTCTAGATCTTACTAGGAGCAGTAGTTTCTTCAAATCATGACTGAATTTTATTTTATTTTTATTTATTTATTTATTGAGATGGAGTTTTGCTCTTGTTGCCCAGGCTGGAGTGCAATGGCGCGATTTTGGCTCACTGCAACCTCCATCTTCCAAGTTCAAGCGATTCTCCTGCCTCACCTTCCCAAATGGCTGGGATTACAGACATGTGCCACCGTGCCCGACTAATTTTGTAATTTTTTTTTTTTTTTACGTAGAGATGGGGTTTCGCCATGTTGGCCAGGATGGTTTCGAACCCTTGACCTCAGGTGATCCACTTTGGCCTCCCAAAGTGCTGGGATTACAGGCATGAGTCACCAAGCCCGGCCTTTATGACTGAATTTTAAAAGCAATCTTGCTTCTCCCTTCGAAACTCAATATCTCTATTTAATAGAATGCATTCCTTCTTTTGCTATTCAAAATAGATTTCTTTCCCTATTCAAAATAGAAAACAAATTAAAACTGCCAAACCTACCAAGGCTTTGTAGTTCGAAGAGCAGGAAAATCAAAATGAAAACAGAAAATTGTCAGAAAATAGCTGTGCAGTCACCTTGGAGGGTACAAAGTCCAGTGTGTTGGTGATAATTGCTGTAGGTAGCTACTGAAGGTCATTAAGTGCTAGGGATGGAGATGACCAAAGAGAAACTCCTCATTTTTTTTTTTTTTTTTTTCTTTTTTTGATACGGAGTTTTGCTCTTGTTGCCCAGGCTGGAGCGCAGTGGTGCAATCTCGGCTCACTGCAACCGCCGCCTCCTGGATCCAAGTGATTCTCCTGCCTTAACCTCCTGAGTATTGAGTAGCTGGGATTACAGGCACCTGCCACCACGCCCAGCTAACTTTTTGTGCGTTTTTAGTAGAGACGGGGTTTCATCATGTTGGCCAGGCTGTCTTGAACTCCCACTTTTTTCCTCCTCCTTCTTTTTATCTTTCCTTTTTTTTTTTTGTTTTTTGAGAAACAGAGTCTCACTATGTTGCCCAGGCTAGAGCGCAGTGGCTGTTAACAGTCACAGTCATAGCACACTGCTGCAGCCTTGAATTCCGGGGCTCAAGAGATGATGCTGCCTCTGCTTCCCCAGTAATGGATACGACAGGCATGTGCCACTGTACCTGGCTTGGGTTTCATTTGGAAGAGAATTTTCATAGTTTGATTCCTTAGTTAAGACTTATTTAATCAGAAGCCCGCCATCAGCTGTATCTTGTGATATAAGAAAATTGAATGGTGTCTTTCAGGTTCATCTTAGTATGTTCTTTCTACTTGGACAGATAGCAAGATTTTCTCGTATGAGACTGATTTTGTTTCTAGGTTGTTTTCTCTCTCTTACCTTTTCTTTTTTTCTCCTTTACTCGATTCCTTTTAAATTTGTTTAAAAACACAGGTAAGATTTGTCATAAAATTTCAGGCATTGCAGCAGTATATCAGAAGTGGTAGTTCCTTTTTTTCTCCCACCCCCAATCCTGTACCCCTAAGCTACCATATTTCTTTATTCTGAGTTATCTTTACCTGTTGATTCCATTCCTCTCTCAGTTCTGTTAGCGATAGTTTCCATCTAATGGTTTCTGTCTATTAGCGGATATTAGGCCCTCATATATTTTGTTGAATGAGTGAGTGAATGAAAATGGTGACTGTATGCTTAATTCCCTTATGAGCCGGTCAATCACAATTTTAAACGTAGCCCTGGGGCTTTTCTTGAAGAGCCAGTATTATTTTTTACACATTTCAGTATTTGAAATGCTTATCTTTGAAATGGCTTTTCTGTAAGATGAACATGTTTATGCTAAAATTCTAATTTAAATTTCTTTTTCTTACAGCTGCTTTTGCCGCAGTGTTGGCACTGGTAAGATTGTTTTTTTCTCCTATGGTATTTTATGCAGATGTTTATAGCTGACTAAAGCTATTTCCCACACATTTAAAGGAATAATTTCAGCATGATTAGTATGAATATATATTACATGTAACACAGTAGTATAAAGAGCTAGTTTAATTGATAAATCAGGGTCAGAATAATTGTTTAATAAAAAAGAGATTCATTATTAAAGAGGCTATATTTGAGACTCCACTCAACATTAATATGTTCATGGTGAGAGAAAGATTAATTTTTTTAATCTTCTAGCTAGAAATACGAATTTCATTAGGTGTTTCTAAAATGGTAACCCAATGACATTTACAGTTTATACTTTTATTGTGCTTCACTTAAAATATTCTGGTTCATTTTAATTTTAAAATCTAATTTGATTTTTTATAGAGGGAAATTTTAGTATAAATGCAATACATACTGAGCGGAAAACAAATGTAGATACTATTGTATTTGAGTTTTATTACAAAATTATCTGCAAGTTAGTCGATACTTTTATTTTTGCTTTTAGCTTACTTTAAAAAATAATGTTTACAGTATAAGTTTTAACACTGTTGCTTTGTTTTCTTTTTCCAGGAGCCATATAACACACCTCTTTGAAAATGACCATCATTTTTCTCACCTCTCAACATTGGAAAGGGAGATGGCTTTTTACACTGAAATGGTTAGTTTTTATTTGGTGTTTCATCATAGTACTTTAGGAATTTAAAAACATTTAAGGTTTTTTATTATGGAAAATTTCAAGATGTTCCAAAGTAGAAAGAGTGGATGCTCTAGCTTCTATAGCTGACAGCCACAGCCGGTTTTCCTTCGTCTACACCCCCACTCACTATGTCTTTTTATTTTTTTGTTTTTATTTATTATTATATATATTTTTTGAGACAAAGTCTCGCTCTGTTGCCCAGGCTGGAATGCAGTGGCGCCATCTCGGCTCACTGCAAGCTCTGCCTCCCAGGTTCACATCATTCTCCTGCCTCAGCCTCCTGAGTAGCTGAGACTACAAGTGCCTGCCACCACGCCCGGCTAATTTTGTTTTTGTATTTTTAGTAGAGACGAGGTTTCACCATGTTAGCCAGGATGGTCTTGATCTCCTGACCTCGTGATCTGCCTGCCTCGGCCTCCCAAAGTGCTGGGTTTACAGGCGTGAGCCACCGTGCCCAGCCAACTATCTCTTTTTAAAGGGAATCCTAGACATTGTATCATTTCATGCTTTCATACTTTCATAAGTGTCTCTAAAGATAAGAATTGTTTTAACTGTGACACAAAACCATGGCACGAGACATACTGGAAAATGTTTAATAATATCCTTAATATCATCAAATAGAAATCACTATTTAAATGTCCTGTTTGGCACCTTTAAAAAAAAAAAAAAGAAAAACAGTTGATGTGTTTGAATAGGATCCAAACGGTGCCTACAGATTGCATGTAGTTGATGTATATCTTAAGTCTTTTAATATGTGAATTCCTTTACCTGTTTTTGTTTTGTTTTCCTGCCATTCGTTTGTTGAGAAATCCAGGCGATTTGTCCTATACTCACAATAATTCACATTCTTCAATTATGTTCCTGTATCCCAAGTTTCCTGAACATTTATGGATCAGAAGATTTGACTTATTTTCTGGCAGGAATACTTCCTAGGCGATGCTGTATACTTCTATTGTCTCAGGCCAAGAGGCACATCATATCTGGTTGTCTCACTTTCTGTGATGTTGAGATTGATCACTGGCTTTGGGTATTGTGATGCTGATTCCTCCTATAGCCTAGCCATCAGCCTAGGTTAGTTATTTCATTATCCGTCTCAAACTGTGATATCTAGTCTATCATTTTTTTCTCTGCACTTATTAGCTATAATTCTTCTATTAAGAACTTTCACACAATACCTTTTGATTTCTCTCTGAGGTATACTTCATAGAGGAAAGACAGGAAAATGCTTTATTCTTTCTTTTTATTTACCAATTTGCAGAAAAATGAGTAGCTTCCCTAGCATCTTCTAGTAGTGATCAATGGAGTACCTTCTTTTGGAGTATCATTATGACATGATGGATTTTAACATATTTTGTAAACCTTCTTGTGTTTAGCAAGTAAAGCCCTTGCAGTGAGAGACAGGACTAGCTGACTAAGAATCCCTAAGCCTAGCTGGGAAGGTGACCGCATCCACCTTTAAACACGGGGCTTGCAACTTAGCCCACACCCAACCAATCAGAGAGCTCACTAAAATGCTAATTAGGCAAAAACAGGAGGTAAAGGAATAGCCAATCATCTATTGCCTGAGAGCGCAGTGGGAGGGACAAGGATCAGGATATAAACCCAGGCATTCGAGCTGGCAAGGCAACCCTCTTTGGGTCCCTTTCCCTTATATGGGAGCTCTGTTTTCACTCTATTAAATCTTGCAACTGCACTCTTCTGGTCGGTGTTTTGTTACGGCTCAAGCTGAGCTTTCACTCACTTGTCCACTGCAGCTGTTGCGACTTCCATCCCTCCGGATCCAGCAGGGTGTCTGCTGTGCTCCTGATCCAGTGAGGCGCCCATTGCCACTCCCGATTGGGCTAAAGGCTTGCCATTGTTCCTGCATGGCTAAGTGCCTGGGTTTGCCCTAATCGAGCTGAACACTAGTCACTGGGTTCCACGGTTCTCTTCCATGACCCACAGCTTCTAATAGAGCTGTAACACTCACCACGCGGGCCAAGAGTACATTGCTTGGAATCTGTGAGGCCGAGAACCCCGGGTCAGAGAACATGAGGCTTGCCACCATCTTGGAAGTGGCCTGCCGCCATTTTGGAAGCAGCCTGCCACCATCTTGAGGGCTCTGGGAGCAAGGACCACCCGGTAACAACAGCTCTCCCTGTTTGCCCTTGATATGACCTCACTAGTATCCATAGGTTCCTTACTTTCAGGTACTACAAGGCATTTTCTTCTCAGACCTGGCATCAGCCAGTTTTCCAATGAGCCACCATTCCTGTCAGTGGCAGATGCTCATTGCTACTAGATTGGCCATTGTATTTTGTCCTTTTTACTGAACAGAATTAGGCTACAGAAAATTTTTTTTAAAGAGAAGATAGATCATGAATTTATATTAATTTTTAAAATGGAAACAAGGTTAATTTTTTTAACTTATTTGATATTAATCTTTTAGTTTGAGAATCTTGGTTTCAAATTATTGATTTGTTAGGAATAAAAGTACCAAAGGTATCATTAAAAATATGATTACTGAAAAGAGTTTAAGATTTTCTTGCAGTTCGGTTCTGCACAGAGCAACCCCTAGAACTGGGTCTCAGCCCAGGAGGCCATGTGGGTTCTTGGCTTTGGGCAGGAAGGAATTCAAGAATGCGCCAACAGAGTAAAGTGAAAATGAGTTTATCTTAAGAAAGTAAAGGGATGAAAGGGTGGCTACTCCACAGGCAGAGCAGCTGTGAGGGCTGCTGGTTCATTGTTTTTAATGTTGTTTCTTCATCATATGCTAAACAAGAGGTGGATTATTCATGAGTTTTCTGGGAATAAGGAGGGGAATTCCTGGAACTGAGGATTCCTCCCTCTTTCAGACCATATAGGGTAACTTCCAGAGGTTGCTATGGCATATGTAAACTGTCATGCTGCTGGTGGGCTTTTCCTTTAGTATGCTAATGTATTATAATGAGCACTTTAGTTGCCATCTTGGTTTTGGCAAGTTTTGGCCAGCTTCTTTACCGCATCCTTTATTATCAGCAGGGTCTTTGTGACCTGTAACTTGTGAAACCAGTCCTGCCGAATTCCTGGGCTCCATTTTAACCTTACGATATAGTCCACTAGGGATATACAGTAAAAGTACAATATGTTACTGTTACTTGAAATCTCCCAAGTTGATAAATAGTTCATTCCTTTCTTTCATTTTTATTTTGATATTTAGGGATTTTTAAATTTTTGATATGTTTCCAAAATCAAACCTACAAAAGAAGGAAGATATAGTTTCCTAGGGCTGTCATAAAGAAGTACAACAAGCTAGGTGGCTTAAAACAGCAGAAATGTATTCTCTCACAGTTCCAGAGACTAGCAGTGGGATGTTAAGGTGTTGACGGGCCTCTTGTCTCCGAAGGCTGGAGGGGAGAGTCCTTCCTTGCCTCTTGTCAGCCTCTGGTGGTTGCTGGCCATCCTTGGAATTCCTTGGCATACTGATGCCTCACCCCAGTCTCTGATTCATCTTCACACGGCCTTTTCCCCTGTGTGCCTGTAGCTTTGAGGCCAAATATTCCTCTTTATTTAGATTTACCAGTTCTGTTGGATTTAGAGTCCACCTTAATCCAATATGACCTCATCTTAGCTTGATCACGTCTGCAAGAATCCTATTTCCAAATAAGATCACATCCACAGGGTCTGGTGGACATGAAATTTTAGGGGACACTATCCAAATCAGTACTCAAGGAAACATAATTTTAAAAATAGTGATATCAGAGCTAATACATCAGACTATTAAGACCGTTTTTTTTCTTTTTCAATAAATTTCTGTGTAGGCATATCACTTTTGTGTTTATGAGTCCTAAACCCAGTTTAAACTTTGGCAGCTACTGGTACTGGCTACCAGGGCAGCTCCAGGTAAAACTGAAGATGCAAATACAAGACATAGATTTATCTTGTGTTTCTCTGTCTTCCCTCATACTGCCACTTAGACTCCCCGTTAGGCTTCTAGTATTTTCTTGTTTTTCTGTCTCATGTGTTATTCCACCCTTGCTATCTTTCCAAAGTAGTGTGCCAAGCTAAAAAACTATCTCTTTTCTTCAAAATACGACCACTTCCCACCCTCATCCCCAGTCCCACAGGGTTCTTACCTTATGCTGACTTGATAGGAGGGAAAGTAATCTGTAAAATTAGGTGGCACCTGAATGAAATTCATATGTAATAATACATCAGTGTGTAACCTTCTCAACACATTTGCATTTTTGCATGTAAATCCGGAGGAAAAATGACTGATAGTGTCATTTTGGGGATTAAAATAAGCAGTTAGAGGAGCAATTTTGGCTTGAGATTTCTTGGTTCATGATAAATTTTAGTTCCATAATAAACCACTCACTCTTTTCATAAGATAGCATTTTCTAACAGTTATATTGGTATGGGTAATAGGATTTTCTAAGTTGAAGTATGCTGAGTCGTATTATTTTTTAAATGCTGAAACTATTTTTGAAGCTATTTTGCATTCAGTTATTTCAATTAAGACAAGTTTATGTGAAAATACATAGTTTTTTTGCAACTTTAGGATTTATCAGTGATCAGAAACCTGTGAAATTCATTGTATTAATAGCTATTACATGCTTAATTGCTTTGTTTTTCAAAAACAGTGTATTTACTTAGAAGAGGCATCATAATTATGTACCTTTTGTTATTTTAACTGAGCTTATCCTTATTTCAGGGACTGTATTATTCCTATTTCAAGACTATTGTGGAAGCACCCTCATTTTTGAATGGAGTATGGGTGATTATGAATGATAAACTGACTGAATAATCCCTTGTTATTAGTACATTAAAAAGGTTCAATCTTTACCCTGAGGTAAGGTACTTTTTCCAATTGTGATTTTTCACTTTTGTAAAACTTTTTTGTATTAAATGCTGATTCTAAATCTAAGATATAATTCAACATATTAAATTGTATTTAATTTTTTAAAAGAAAATATGTATCTTGGGGAGGAATATATAAAAAAGATCATTATTGATTTTGAGGAGCATTGTTTAGAAAATACAAAAACTAGATTTGGTGTGCTTGTAGGGATTATACTAAGGGAGCCCTGTTACTTTTACATATCATTTGTTAAACGTTTTCTTCCTTATCCTCATTTAATTAAGTGCACTTTCTTGAGTGGGGGTGGAGGGAAGGTGAGCCCAGTTCAGCAAGTGGAGATGACATTTGGCCTCTCGTTTATCCTCCTTGCAAAACTATAAATTTGTTGATGTGGAACTCTTTCATTCAATAGAATATATACTTTAATGATTTTGTCAAAAGGCCTTCCAGATAGATATTGAACTATCCACCAGCAGTGTCTTCGAAACTATTTATTTACATGCATCTTTGTTAATTGAATAGACAAAGAAATTGAAGTCACATGAATGTGTGAATATTTCATTCATCGATTTTATATATATATTTCAGTGTTCTCTATTTATGTATATATAACACATACATATACATATAATGCATTTTTACTTTTAAAATTAATGGCCAATTTTTGCCTTTTATCTATATTTCTATTAAAATTCTCTAAGAGCTCATTTATTACATACTGGATATTAATATAATGCTATATAATGAAACATTTTCCCCAGTTGTTTGCCCTTCAACTTTGTGTATGATGTCTATGTATTTTTTTCTATACAGAAATATATCTGTGAATCTTTTTGTATTTTATACATACATGTAAAAAACTTCATTTTTATAATCATTATAATTATTTTTTTAAATTTACATTTTTAGTTTATCTGGAATTGGTTTTGATGCATAGCGTGGGGTAGGAACCTAACCTTGAATTTTTCTTTGAAAATGGTATTGTGTGTAACCTAACACTGATGAGGTGTCCATCCTCTCTCCACTGATTTGAAGTAAGCTTTCTTCTTTATATGCAAAATTATTATACCTACATGCTTGCATGTGTTTCTGGATTTTGTGCTCAGTATTGCCTTAGGTTGAGGTCGTGGGAAGTGGACTTTGAGATGGAGATTTGCATGCTGGAAGTAGTTGAGGGAGTGTCCTTAGGGTCAACACCTGAAGGGGGATGAATGAAGCAGATTGAGGCAGGAAGAAGGGGAGAGCTTTGATGCAGCCACCGTGAAGGCCTCATCCAGTCCCTGGCAGCTCTGGATCTGGGATGGCCTTGCAGAGTTGTCCTACCTTGACAGAAGGGCCTCTAGTATCTTTCCCTATTGACTAGTCAGTCACTGGATGCAGATTGCCCTTGGGTAAGGGGTGTCACTTTGAGTGAATTTACTTTCTTCAGCCACGGGCAGTTCCCGGGGAGGGACACAGCTTCCAGCTCTCAGGCACCAGTCTTCCAACCAGCTGGAGGAATGAGTGCCCCGGCCCAGAAGACGGAATCTGGGGTGGCTTACCACCACCTATACCATGGCTACATTGATCTGTCTAGCCATTCTTGTGCCAGTATCACACTATTTTAATTATTAAAGGTGATAAGACTTATATCTGTTAAAACATTCTGGTTTTCTTGTTTTCTAGATACATTTTAGGCACATGGAATTTTGATTAGAATTATTTTATGTTTATGAATTAATTTGAGGGAGAATTCATATGTTAAATAATTTGGTCCATTCCAGTAGACCCAGTATCTTTTCCTTGTGCAAATTCTCTTTTTTGTCTCTTAGTAGAGTTGTATAGTTTTTGAAAAACATAAATTTAGCACTTTTTTTGGTCCCATATTTTGTCCTTACCCATGGATGAACAATTAAAAACTGACCAGTGAAGAATCTGCCTAGGAGATTCTGAGCCTCATTTTACTAGATTTAAAGGGAGCCAAGTGAATGGTATAGAAAGGGAAAATATGATAATTGTCAAAATATCTCAAAAGTATTCTAGTAATGAAAATTGTTTAGTATATTTTCTTAAGATGCCGCTATATTTTTTAAAAATAGGTAATATTGGCCAGCTGGTACTGGATTTATACCAAAATAATGGACTTGATTGGTATTCAAACCAAGATATGTTGGACGGTTACCAGAGGAAAAGGACTCAGTCCTACTGAAAGCCGCAAAGGTAAGTTTCTTTCTATAATATTGTCCAGTTATCTGTTGTAACATAATAAACTTATCCAGCATAATAAACTTATACTGTAAACTTAGTGGTGTAAACAACACCCATTTTATTATGCATATGGATTCTGCAGGTCCAGAATTTGGGCAGGCTTTAGCAGGGCTGGCTTATCTCCATGATTTCAGGGACCTCTGCTAGTAAGACGCGAATATCTGGGAAGACTGGAATTAACTGAGAGGCTGCATTGCTCACATTTTGACTCCTGGGCGTGGAGGACTGTGAGGCTGAGCTCAGCTGGAACTGTCAGCTGGGACACCTACCTGTGGCCTTTCTGGGTGACTTGGGCTTTTTGATAGCAAAGTACCTCAGAGTAGTAGTAAGGATTTTCCTACGGCAGCTGAAGGTTCCAAGGTGGACGCTGCATGGCCTCTTATGACCTAGTCTCAGAAGTCACATGGTGTTGTTCTGCCGTACTCTGTTGAAAGAGTCACAAGCCCAATGAAACTCAAAAATGGGGGCTATAGACCCCATACCTCCCGAGGAGGCATATCTGTGAATTTGCAGCCCTGTTTTAAAATCACCATTGCTCATTACCCTGATCGCATTTATGTTCTGCAGTAGTGTTATGTTTTCATGTGGGAACCAAGGCAACTATTTAATATATCTGGCCACCATTTTCAAAATGAACACAATTTAATATAAATTGCTAGACACATAAGGTAATTTGGGTTAATGTGGTTAGAGCATATGTTTTGTTTATTTTCAAAAGATTGGGAGATACTGCTTGCTTTTATGTTGCTATAATTTTTATTTTAAATGGACTAATGATGGCATTATTCTTCATATATGGCACATATTTAAGGTAAGATAATATTTTAGCATGTGTTTATAAGATATACTAAAATAAAATAGTTGATTAGTTAATAATTAATCGTTGATTAATTTATAGTTCAGTTTTATGAAAATGTCCTAAAAAATCTTATTTTCATAAAATCATTCATTATTTGCATGCTTTTACCACTGCCATGGCCCATCACACTTAAGATAGTTTCAGAGGTATAAACAGAGTTGGGGATACTTGATAAATTTAATTATTATTATTTTTTGAGACAGGGTCTCACTCTGTCACCCAGGCTGGAGTGCAGTAGTGTAATCTCTGCTCACTGCAGCCTCTCCCTTCTGGGTTCAAGCGATCCTCCCACTTCAGCCTCCTGAGTAGCTGGGACTATAGGTGCACGCCACCAAACTCAGCTAATTTTTTGTATTTTTTGTAGAGACAGGGTTTTGCTATGTTGCCCAGACTAGTCTCAACTTCCTGGGCTCGAGTGATCTGCCTATCTCAGCCTCCCAAAGTACTGGGATTACAGGCATGAGCCACAGTGCCTAAATTTTAAATATTCATAGGCATTTGAGCATAAACAATATATATTCCACAAATGGTTATGGAATATCTAATATATTGTTATAGAACAATATATTCCATTTGCTGTATGTACGTGTATATGTGTGTGTGCTGAGATGTGTGAAGTCTTACTTCTTACTATAGTTTTGGTGTAAAAAAAAGTCCGTAGACTACTGCTTAAGGTAGCATGAGGGAGCAGCGTTTACCTTAGAGCATTTGGGTCTTTCCAAATGGCTGACTCCAGTTCTTCTTCCAATGTCAATGGCTGTAGATTGTTTCCGCTCCTTCCAGTATATATTGTTTACATAATATATAAGGGAAAAGACCACTCATTATCAAATGATAGTAATAGTTCTTTACTAATGTTAAAATAGAAGTATCTTCTATGCAATAGTTAGAAATGTGTTCTATGCAGTATTTAATATCTGACCTGATTTACTTTACAGTTGAGCAGCATTCCTAAAACTAAAAGACTACTGTTTTAAGGCTTTTTATGTTTACTTTTCTCTTTCTTATTTTTTTGCCAATTTATTATAGTGTATATGTTTGAAGTATTTTACCTTGAGATTATCTTTAGAATTTTCTTCCTTGTTGCTTATTGATTCTTTGTAGTATAGAATTACAAGAATTGTATGTGATTTTCAATTCGGGATAATGAGTTTGAATTTGCTATTATCCCATTATCTCCTTTCCTTTGGAAGTGTGGCATTTTCAGTTTAGTACCTCAAAGATCTGTTGAGTTTCTAGCCCACCGTTTGAGTATCTAGCAGCTACTTGATAAGCACTTGTCAAACGAGGAAGCTGTTAGAAGATCAATGTAAAATATATTTGCATATGGATTTAAGACACTTTGAAGTTAATATTTCTGACTTAGGTCTAAGAAAAAATTCTTTTGTTTAATTGGGGAGACTAAAATAAAAATGCATAATTGAAAGATGATGTGAAAGATTTTGTTTTTGAAACAAGACACAGGGAAGTAAGTTAAACCAAAAGACTATGGTAATGAGAAAAGGGGGCTGACTTGAGGGAAAGTGGGCCTGTGTGCTTGCATCGTAATGAGCCAGAGGGAGAGAAACTTGGTGGTGTCTATTCATTTTGCTAAGTACTGCCCATCTGTCTATGGGTAGCTTTATTACATTTGGGGGATTAGATTTTAAATAAGAGAAGTTAAAATATGAAACATGGCATGTTTGCTAAGCTGCTAATCTACACTTATGCTACCTTTTTTTTAAAAAAAATATGGGGTCTTGCTATATTGTTGCCCAGGCTGGAGTCCAGTGACTATTCACAGATGTGGTCACAGTGCACTATGGCCTCAAACCACTGACTTCAAGCAATCCTCCTGCCTCAGCCTCCCAAGTAGCTGGAACTACAAGTGTGTGCCACCATGCCTGGCTACTTTTTTAATTGAAAGAAGAATTTATACACAATTGTTAAATCATTCATATTTTCTTGTAATGCTTGTTATAACTGTTTTTTCAAAGGCAGAAGGTACAACATCTACTGAAGAGAATAGAAGTTTCTGGTTTCGGTTGAGGGGTTCTTGGTGGTTTTGGTCCTGACCTGACCTTTCTCAGTCTTTAACCCCTGTGGTGCCTGGTAGGCAGTTTTCTGTCTACATGGGAGATGCATATTCAGTTGTTCAGTCAACACATGCAATTCATACCAAGTAGTTTCTTAAGGCTGTTTGGGCTCTGAGAACATGGGAGTGCGGCAGGGTGTGTGTGAGTGGAAGATAGACACGAAGGAAGAATAAAGTCTTTAGAACTCCAAAGGCAGGAGAAATTTGTTTTGCATGGAGGGGCTACTTCAGTGTGACCTTGTAGAGTCAGAGGTATTTGGATAGGTGGAAATAAACCATGAGGATAAAAGCATACCAGGGAGAGGCAAAGGCCAAAATCTAGTATGTGGAAAGCAGGTAATAAGCAGATCAGTTTTGCTGGGATGCATGTTCTTCAGGGAGTGTTGTGGAGGATTCAGATGGGAACAGTGGTTGTGCTGAATGATGAAAGGCCTTGGTAACTGACTGGGTTGAAACCTATTCCAAAGCAAGTGAAATAAATACAAAAATTAACCAGTATGAAAACAGGATTCAAGCTGAAGTATGATCTCATGGAACGCTTGACTTTCCCCAGTCCTCAAAGTCAAGCAGTGACTACTTCAGCACGGTGTTTGTCAAATTGCAGGGCATCACTTATTAGAGAGTTTTACAATTGATTCAGTGAGTTGAGCCCATTTCATTTTAGATTAAAAAAAAAAAACTACAAAGTAAATAATATCATCTACCACACTAATAAGGATAGATACTATTTAGAGAAACTTCCATTTGCTGTATATATACGTCAGTAGGCAAGGTCATGAGCTAGTCCTGGGATAAATGTGGGACTCAGTAGGTAGGGATATCTGACAGAAATGTAGTGGCCAGGTACTGCATATCCAGCAGAAATATCATGAGGGGAAGAGCTGTTCCCTCTTTCTAAATTCACCATTGTTTACCCTGGCTCTGTGGAGCATATCAAAGCAGAACAACTTCTGTCAGTGACATAAGTGTCTTTAACTGATGCCAGCAGTAAAGCATGTGGAGCCAAGATAAAATACGGGCAAGAATCTGGTCCAGGCTCATCCAGGCTCACACTAATAAAATGTAGAGATTTTGGGCCTGAGTCAGTACTTGGTTCTGGACTGGCCACCTTCCCTCGTGTGTGTACATCTGTCCTCTTGGCATCCCATTGGGATTTCCTTGACTGCTCTCCCCTGTTGGATCTCCTGTGCCCTTATCCTGTCTGTTCCTATTTCTTGGTTTATTTTCTCATTTTGGTAGACCTCATCTTCTGGTAACTAGGTCTTGAGAGTAGAGAGCTGGGAGGTAAACATTTATGAAACTTTGCATATTTGAAAATGTCTTCATTTGCTTTCATGTTTGATTCACTGTTTGGCCAAGTATTGAACTCTAGACTTGAAAACATTGTTGGTTGCTTCAGATGGTGATATTCAGATGTTCCTAAGTTATTCGGATTTCTAAACCTTTGTATGTGACCTTTGCTTCCCCTTCCTCTCTCTGGAAGATTGTAGAATATCTTCCTTGTCTCTATGGTTCTGAAATTTCAAAGCAGTATGTCTCAGTGTAGATCTGCTTTCATGTGTTCTCTTGTACCCCTGATGGGTTGTTTCAATCTTGTAACTCATGCTTTTGATTTCTGGGAATTTTCTTGAATTATTTCTTTACTTATTTTATTCCCTTTGTCTTCTGATTCAGAACTTTTATTGTTTGGATGTTCGTAGTTCCCAGTCCTCTAATTTTCTTTTCTTTTTTCCTATTTTTAAGCTCTTTGGCTTTGTTCTACATTCTAGAACATTTTATCAGCCTTATTTTTCCAACCCTCCTACTGAGTTTTTATTTTTGATTATCATGCTTTTTTTTTTTTTTTTGAGATGGAGTCTCGCTCTGTTACCAGGCTAGAGTGCAATCGCATGATCTCGGCTCACTGCAACCTTCGCTTCGTGGGTTCAAGCAATTTTCTCTTGCCTCAGCCTCCCAAGTAGCTGGGACTACAGGCACACACCACCACGCCCAGCCAATGTTTGTATTTTCTAGTTGAGA